GGGGATTTCTGTTGTGCGTTGTTTTAGCCTTCTTTCCGTGTTTTGATAGAAATTGCATCAACCATCGCGACCTCTGATTCCATTTGTTTCGACTGTAACACTTGTGAGGCACTCTTTATGTTGACCAGATGCTGGTATTCTGTAGTAATCTCCTGAAAGGTTATCCCTGGAGATGAGTCCAGTTTTGATACCAGACTTGTTCTGATTTCCTCCTTAGCTTCAGAATTTAAACCAGATACAAATAGCGTCATTCGAACTGATTGTCTGTTGATAATCTGATCTTGAAACTTTCGCTTATGGAACAATGCCTTTGGATTGATTTTTACAGTTTCTAATACTGAAAACGGAGATAAAAACTGCGGACCATTCACCAACAATGAAAAGGAGGATAGTGAGTCTTCCGGGAATTGCAGTATAGAAAATGTTTCTGTAGAATGAAGTGGCAGTACTGCTTGTGTTAATTTTCCTCCAGATTCTGTAAAACAACCGTAATTTGGCCACATTATCAAGCGCAATCATGTCAACCAGAAAGATGTCTTCATACAGCCTGCGAAATAGTCCCGTTCCGCGCGACATATTGAAAATCCTGCATTCCGTTTGCCAACGTTGCAGCCGAAATGAACTCTCTTTTCACTGTGGTGGGTGCTGTATTTAGAGATGACTGCCTTTGTTCTTGTTGAAACAAAACCAGATGTTGCTGTTGGATAAATCTTGCTGTTGTTTAATAGTTATGAATGATCAGTTATCTCCGTCGTTAGTTTTGTAGTGGCGATTGATGGAACCTGGAGTCATTAGAAGAAAACCCACCGCACTGGATAGTGTATTGATCAAACGTCAAGTCACACGGCCACGCAAGACAATATATGTTAAAAGAGGAGCAGGGTAAGCGACGAACATGTGTCAGACAGGCTACCTCACGTGCTCGGCTGCTTCATATGTTTGAACCATGTTAGCGCAGTGGGTGAGAGCGAAGTTCATATCCAGTTTCGCAGCACGGCAGAATCGCCAGTCCTAACAGAGCTCTCACTGGATTTGTAATCTGGCACCATCGAAATCCACAAGTCTACGTGATATCTCACCACCAAAAAGTCAGGTATCGGGAGTGGACCTGGCCTCATACACAGAAGCAAATAGTTCGAAGCGTTGTAACGATCTAGCACAAAGCTGAATAATCCCAAAGCTTACGAAGATCCAACGAACTTTTAGGGTGACTCATTCAGTCACAAGTATTAGTTCGTTTGAAAACAGAAGGCATTATGAGCTCATCAGGATGCCGTTAACAGACACTTTAAACGACAAAGCCGAGAACAAATCCATGTGAAAAGCCACTGGGAACAGGTTGTCGAAATTATAGCCTGGAGCTCACGTGAACGCAGGTTTCCCTTTATTGATTTAGTTGTGCACCTTTGGTTCTAAGTTGTTGATTGTTCTGTATGATGCCATTTGGTCTTCTGCTCTTATATCAAGAGGGCACTTCAAAGGCCTGTATGTTCTTCTGCACCATGTCACCGTTTCCTTGTTTGCCCGTTGCTACTTTCGATTACTGTGGTCACAATCGGTGGAAGTGCACGCTTTGTCTGTGGGGTGGGTGTGAACTAATGATGATTCCGGTAGGTGCCTACTGATGGAACAACAAAAGACGTCAATCATCCGAGTTTTGGTTCGTAGAAATGCGCAAAATTTCATTGAGGAGTATGCATCAGAGTGACTTACACTGTTAATGTGTACGAGCGAAGTGAGCATTTGTGCAAAGGTTATGGAAGTTTAGGCCCACCACCCATTAAGCTAATCATAGAATAAGTGGAACTGTAGTTATCCATATTTCAAATGGCCTTGAGAGTGTCTCTGATGACCAAAATGTGCCCAATAGTCCTGTCACAGAGTTGAAGGAAATCAGCAATGCTTATTTCAGCAAACTTTTATCGGCTATTAACTAACTTATTTATGATTCCACGCTTCGTTTTGACACCAGAAACTCCGCAGCCCCTGCGGTCAGTACAGATGAGGTAAAGAGCGCATTTATCGCATCACCAGTTAAAAGTAATGGTGCAGTTCATTGGTTGCCGTGGGTTGGGAATGTTTATCCTTATGCACTGACGGTGAACCATAATATGCCCGTGAGTTAAGGTTTGTAGAAACTGACGCATATCTGGTGCACGTTAGAGACCTAAACGCATTTCGAAGTGGTCAGCCAAGACTGCCTTCCATGCACAATGTGCTTCTGCGCGCGTCGGCCGGCTTACACGGTCCTTGGCTCCACGAATTCTACCTTCGCTACGAGTAAACATCGCGGGGCTGGACGCACATGCATCCCAGGATGATGGCAATATGGCGGCAGATCACGAGCATTCTTCCGAAACCCACTGTTAAGCAAGCTAGACATGATCCTTAGGTAATATTGTCAACTGTTGCGTTGTTCTGGCTATATTGCTGCCTTGGGAGAATAGCGTCGAATCGGGGAATCATCTGTTCCCTTGATCAGAGAGACGCGACTGTCAAGCAGTAAAATTGAAGACAGGTAGCCCGGGTTGTTCAGATGGCGGTTGAACTATTCACCGACCTTTGCAATTTTGTGGCAAACGCTTCGTCCCGCATCGAGGTGACACCATCAGTGCGTAGTTGAGTGGCGTGCAGTAGCCTAGAGTAGCGTACAGGAGCCTCGGTGAGAGTGCGCTGAGCGTGGTGTGCGTGCGTTTTTTATGCCGCCGTGGTTGCCCGTGGAGACGAGTAATCCTAGTGGTTGGACTTCGATCCGCGTTCAGCTTGGTTGATGGGCAGATGACATTGACCCCTTGTGTTTCGTGCCCTTTGTCTGCTTGCTCTTCTGAGCGAGTCTGTCGTCCGTTCCGGTTGTCTAGTCACACATTCCACTGGATTCAATTGATAGAGTTGTCGGTCGTTCGCCAGTAGTGTTGCGTATACTGCGTCCAGTTCGATGTGTCGATTAATTGAATTCGTTATGGAGTACCAGACTTCCAAAAACTTCCTCGCATGTTTTGTACTTCTATGCGCTAGGATATTCACATTTTCCAGATCGAAATGGTGGCCTTCTTGATCTTCATGCGCGGAAACCAACGAGTGTGGATCGTGTTTTCTGACGGCCGCCTTATGTTCGGTGATTCGTGTACAAAGCTCTGTTCCAGTTTGTCCGACGTAGTTTTTGTTGCAGTCGTTGCATTTTATCTGGTAGATGACATTGCATTGGTCGGCTTGATTGACTTTTTCTTTTGCTCTCCTCTGCATGTTTTCTTCCGACTAGATATTAAACTACAACAGCAACCACCCGATGAATCATAAGAAGAGCAGCATTCAAAGCCTGTTCAAAGGAGGGGCACCGCACTGCAGCACAGCCGAATCGCGGAAATAGGAAGAAAAGCACCTATATAGACTGTTTAGAAACAGCAGTTATCCAAAAAATTTCATCAGAAGTAGCTTAAAGAAATGAATGTCTCAGCAACAGCAGCAGTAGTCACCTGAGCAAGCAAACAAACGGATAGTACTGCCCTACATCAAGAACGTCTCCGAACTAGCAGGAAGATTACTGCAGTCATATGGAATCTCTGTGTGTTACAAACCAAGTGCCACCCGAAGAAAATTGATCTCAAGACGCAAAGAAATGTCAATCAAGCCGACCAATGCAATGTCATCTACCAGATAAAATGCAACGACTGCAACAAAAACTACGTCGGACAAACTGGAACAAAGCTTTGTACACGAATCACCGAACATAAGGCGGCCGTCAGAAAACACGATCCACACTCGTTGTTTTCTGCGCATGAAGATCAAGAAGGCCACCATTTCGATCTGGAAAATGTGAATATCCTAGCGCATAGAAGTACAAAACACGTGAGGACGTTTTTGGAAGTCTGGTACTCCATAACGAATTCAATTAATCCACACATCGAACTGGACGCAGTATACGCAACACTACACGACCGACAACTCTATCAATTGAATCCAGTGGAACGTGTGACTAGACAACCAGAACGGACGACAGACTCGCTCAGAAGAGCAAGCAGACAAAGGGCACGAAACACAAGGGGTCAATGTCATCTGCCCATCAACCAAGCTGAACGCGGATCGAAGTCCAACCACTAGGATTGCTCGTCTCCACGGGCAACGACGGCGGCATAAAAAACGCACGCACACCACGCTCAGCGCACTCCCACCGAGGCTCCTCTACGCTACTCTAGGCTACTGCACGCCACTCAACTACGCACTGATGGTGTCACCTCGATGCGGGACGAAGCGTTTGCCACAAAATTGCAAAGGTCGGTGAATAGTTCAACCGCCATCTCAAGCAGTAACCTAAAAGATTAACCAATGCAGACATGATCATTTGTAATGGTTTAAAGGTTTTCATTAATATAATCAGTATGGGTTGTTTAAGTGGTGATAGTGAACGCGCCCCCTGAGTGGAATACACAACACTGTGGTATCCACCATCGTGGCTTAAACACCTGACAACTAGTATCTTGGTGGTGCGCCTAGGACACCTGATTGCTCAGTCATGCAGCGAGAGAATTTTCTCCCTGTTCTCGTGTAACGTTTGCAGTCCCCAACGCAGTACGGTCATACTTTTGGGTAAAAATGAACTTTAAGTTGGGCATAAGGCGGAACCAATACATTTGGGCGGCTTGTTTGTGCGAGATGAAAAAGTTGGACTGGACTGGATGAGGAAACAAGACCACATGAGTCAAGACCATTACTCCATAACATGTTTTGTGTCTTCAGTTGGCGAGATTCACGCCAGAGTGACTGACGACTGTATCTTTATGCTCTTGTATACCGCCTAGCCAGGTACGCGCAGCAAAGCATCAAACGGAAACAGTGTAAAAAAACAAAGTTTAAGAAGAAAGTGCACAGGTCGTGTATGATGCGATCTCTGCTTGACACTGTTGGATAAGTTTCGGTAGTCAGGATATTCGCAGTATTTTATTTGTAAATCATTGTTTACACGTTTGTAACCACATTGTCAATAGTGTCCCCTTATCGCTTACCTCACCGATGAAGGTCTGCTCACTACTGTCCGGCTCACAGGTCCACAGAGTGACTTCGAGGTCAGCTTGCGCAATGTCTTGTTCATCGTACCCATTAAACCTGAAAAACTGGTTCCATTGTGGATTGTCATTCTGCGAGATCATAGTGGAATACTTCATTTCACTAATAAAGGATAAAAACAACAAAAATAAACTCATTTTTAAGCCTTGTTAATGCATTTATGGTGAGATATGGTAGCATAGTTCAGAATATCAGACAAGCAATCGATAAAGAAAAATGCAGAGAAAAGACGAAAATTAATGGTCCTTGTCCCAATAATTTCGTTTCTATTTGAACGTTGAGGGGGAAAATAAACTGAATTTATTGTAGTCGTGGATTGGTCTACTTGGCAATATTTAAATTATGGCAATTAGTACAACAAAACATGGTGGAAAATAGCGATTAATCCATAATTGCCTTAAATTGAACTATCCGTGGATGGAGTTAAGCGTTAGAAAGAGAATTTATTCGCCGGGCTGTGCATTTAGGTTGGCGGTGTTTCGTCAAGAATCTAGGTGACATCTTCAGGACCTGGCGTTGGTAGTGCAATAAGATCGACGATATGTCGGGACATATTATGTCTGCAACGCGTTTTACTGCGTCTGTTGAACCAGCCGCCGTCCGCAACGGAGGAATTCCCTGTCTCAACTTTAGTAGGCCATTGACGTGCGTGTACAATTGCTTATGGTTTGCCCTGTGGATTTTCGTCATGCAATGCTGATGTGCGGCATTGTCTTTTCTAACCAGTTGCGTGCCGCGGTTACATTGAGCTATGTCCTTTTGCTAAGTAATCGGCAGTGGAGGTAGCATACACGCTCGCCATGCTGTGTCGTGTACTGCCACAAATTTCATCCCTCTGCCACTTAGGAAAGCAAATGTATTAAGCCCATTACTAGCACTTTGCTCTGAAGCAGCTTTAATCAGCTTATTGAACCTGCTAACTAATTTCAGCCAGGCGACTTCTGGGTGGTCATTAACGAAGAGTCAATAGTCTGTGACATTGACAAGCTGGGTTAAGGGTTCGTAGCGTTGCATGATGCGCACCAGCTCAGAGTCCTCCTTTCGATATTTCGCAAAGCAGCTGAAGTCGAATGCATGACTGCATGTTCACTGCGGCCCAGAGGATAGTCTAGAATTAATACATCGATCATAAGTTGCTGGCTTGTGAACATGAGATCCCGCACAAATGAGCTGTTACTTATTCTGAAAGGAGTGAGTGAAGTGATTTGATTATAAAGAGCGGAAAACCGGCACTAAATGCTGCGGATTGGCCTGGAATTGTTTCCTATCGTTACCGGGTTTTCTAAACCATGTACTTAGAACCACTTATGATGAGTATGTGTGCGTTTTCCGTTTAGATTACATTTTAGAACCAACCGAGACGTTACAGCCCATTTCGGGTGTAGAGTTTGAGTGGCGGTACACCAACGCTAAAAAGAAACTGTCCCGGCCTTTAAGCTGTAAGTCGTAGCAGAGAGAAATTTGAATCTGCTAGACTGGATTTTCTATGTAATCGCAAAGTAGGTCACTTTGGTCCTACATAATCAATTCTCCTGTTGCTCTGGATGGGATAGATGCCAAGAAGCGAGACTGCAGTGTCCGTAATCCTGGTGTGCAACTTTGCCTCAGTAACACCAATAAAATCAAATGGGATGAAAGCCTGGCTGTTCTGCAGTTAGGCCAGATTAATGGAAAAGCCTTGAGCATTGCTGTACAAACAGGTTAGATTCTCCGTCACTAGGAGCACACATAATGCTAAAACAGTCAGTTATGTGCGAATGCATACCTATGTGTGGTCAGCCATTAATCGCATTTTTGAACTGATGTTTTCACTTGTCTGCAATTTGACCTGGTCATAGTGCCTTTCATTCCTTATCTGGACTTGCTGAGGTGTTGAGTCAACAAGGGGACTAGTGGGAACTCAATGTAATCACCGGTGGAATTGCTCATTCAGATGATCTGCTTTGTTATCATGGCAACGCACCTGCAGCTTTTATGCAAGGACTAGACCGTTCTAGCATTTCCGTTGCTCTGTACTCTCATTAAACTGCGAGTTTTAATATCATTGGGCCGCACCCTTTACAATTTGCTGAGGTAGATAGCCATTTGAAAGATAGCGTGAGGGTGTTCTTCAAGGAAATTACTTCATGAACTGGAGTGGGAAGGCACTTCTGCCACGCCCCTGATGAACGTAGTGTTTAGGTGTTTTTTTCTGCTACGTCCTTCCGAGTTGTTTCTTTGTGAATGACGTACGCTGTGATCGACATAAGGATAAATGTGCATCCCACAAAGGTAGTGCTGCAGAGAAATTACAGAGAATAAAAGTTTTTTAAACTGTGGGGCAGATTTCAGCATTACCCTAATAATTTTGGGTTCTCCATAATGTGTAGAATTCGGGTGACGTGTAACTGGCACAAGATTTGTGGAATTGAGTTTGACACTGAACAAAATATACAGAGAGTTCCATTGGTTCATATCGTTAGACAACTTCCCCTGCAATGTAATGTAGGTATACTCGAGAACATATGTGAAAGGCACAGCTAATGCACTACGGTTAGGTCACTTTTTCGCTGAGTTTCAAGGTATAGCAACCATTAGTCTTGGCATTCTGTCGAGTGTTGATTTCTTACTGTTCTTTTCTCTATTTGTAGTAACGACTTTATGGTGTAAGAGACTGTTGGGTGAATTGTGTTACTCACTGCTTATGTGACTCCCAGAGACACTGAAGCTTCAGCTGCAACTGGTGTACTTCCAGTGTAAGTTTTGAAATCCTCCAATCTGAAGGAACGGCTTGCATTTAGCTACTGGTTCTTGGATCACATGGGTATTCATTCCATTATTTTCACCACAGAAGCAGTGTTCATTTGAAAGGAATAGTGAAGCAGTAATTTTGGGAAGCATATAATACACGACGTTATTGAGCCTCACGTAAGCAACATAGCCTAAAGGTCGTGATTTGGGCGGGAATAACTGATAAAAAATCCTGGACCCATTTTGCTCTTCCAGTAATGTGCCCAGCAGGTTGTTTATCGCCCAGTATTAATGTCATACCTTTCCTAGCATCGTCTTACATGGTAAGGCTGCAGACGCGTTTTTCCGCAATCAGAGGCCGAGGGGTTATGCAGCACCATTTTGTGACAAAATGACGGCGCAACGGCACATTATACCTACACGGCATGTGATAATTTGAGCGGTATTTTCGGCCACGGATAGATCGGTTGAGGCGGACCAACGGACTGTCTTTTGCACGGTCACCCTATTTAAACTCCTTGAATTTATTCCTATGGGGCTAATTAAAACAAAGATTTTGTAAGACAAGAACGAATTCATTGGAACAACTGAAACAGCTCATCGTAAGCGAATGTCGCGCTATCACCGCGGAAACATTGGAATAAGTTCTAGCCAAATATCTCAGGCAATTTCTGCACTGCAAGCGGAACGCCAGTAGCCACTTTGAACCATTACTGCGTTGATGTTTGTAAAACTGTTTTACCCTGTCCACTTAAATGTACGTATCTAACCACACGTGCTCATGGTCTTTTGGAACTCAGTCCGGCATTTGGGTTGAACGAACAACTGCAGTGTACCCCCTGCTTTTCAGGTCGACAGTGATTTCCCGTAGGCGCCACAGGCGGCGGAGATAAGCAAAGGCGAATTGAACTTTTGCTGGTGATCTAGAGAAGGATATAGTCAAGGCTCACGTGTACAAGAATATAACGGGAGAATAAGCTAAGCGGTTGCGTAAGTTTTTCTTGTTTATTAGCCTAGAGACACTCTGGCGTTGGATGAGTACTACAGAACATCAACTTACCTGTCACATTCCTACGGAAGAAAAACGGGCCCCTGATTTCCCGGCCAATTGATTCATCATATGAGCTTCGCGTTTCATTTAATAAGTAAAGTTGTGTATCGGCGTGTATTAGATGTAAGCCGGAAATGCACTTTCTCGGTACCATGCAAGTGGACGCACACTTGCCACTAATTTTCCTCAGTGACAACGAAACTAGCTTACTGTAAGGGCGCAACTACTCAATTCTCAAGCCGGTATATTCCTTATGTGAAAGGTCTAGTGGAATGTTATGGCTATTTTACTAAAGTGATTTGTTGCGGGCTAGCTTTGCGGCTAAAGTTTTTAACCAGAACTGTCTTTTCTTAGTAATTGTGATAATAATCAGGGCCTAATAAACATTCATTAATGAGGACCAGTTTGGTCTGCCTAAGCGATAACTTACTTCTACCACAGTAGTCAAGGTACTGATCCACTGCTAAGATCGGGACTTTCGGTTACTTCGCGGATAACGGCGCAAGCCGAAAACTCATCCGTTGTGATGCGAAGCCGACCAGTTTTACTGACGTTGCAAGCAACACCAGTTTTTTTAAACATTTTTACCAGTTTTAAAACGTTACAACCACATACGGGCCGGATTCTAGCCTTGACGTTGTATTGTCGCGCAGCTGTTGCAACGTCTAAACCGCAGTGACCAAACAACCAAAGAATCGGCACACGCTGATCAACCGTCACGTATTGTAACTCCGAATGCTGCTAAGTCGCTGACGACAGTGCATCACCGTACTCCAGCGCTGAGACACTGCTCCAAAAAAGGAACCAATCCCCGACTATGGATGTGGCCTGTCTGTTCAAAGGCCAGGTGCACAGCTTTCACTTCTCAGCTCGCTGGACTGAAAAATCCAGCATTCATATGTCTTATTTCCTTGGAGGGGAGGGTCTGAACGTGAGTGCAGGTGCATTCTTGTAGTCCTTCGCCGTTGCAATGTTACGGACTTCGGCCCTATATACTCAATGGCAATGTATTATAAGTTACTGGGCTTTGGCCGTTTTTGAGCGCTACGAGGTCATGCTTTAGCCAACGATTTCATGCCTGTATACCAGATCAGAAGTATTGACACAGGTAGGAATTGAAGCTTCGAGGGATGGATGAATCAAAACACTCGACTGCATCCAGCATGGGACCAACATACTGATTACTGCGTTTTGGGGCGGAGTATCCGTTTATATACTTAAGTGTAGGAAGCTGTGCGCGACACCAAAAAGTGTATGAAAAATAGCTAAATCAAGAACACAAACGACTTAGTTCGGAAGAGCATTCATTCGAGAAGA